AAATTACATCAGTCTAATGACAATTATTATATACTTTGACAGTTACTGTACGAGCGATGGAATCTGGGCGTGCACAAAGATTCTGTGTGGGGATACAGGTACGTTTTATTTAACAACTTATATTGTTAAGTTCTAGATATTCGGACCAAAGCAAACGACAAAATTGCCAGAGTCACAATCTTCTACATTTAATACAACTACGTATCTCAGAAAACAGATGGGAAATTTGAATTGCTCTAAGTTAAAGTTGGAAACTACTGTAAAAAACAAGTCATGTGAAACAAGTTTGGAAATCTCGTTTTATTCATCAAATATACCATGTATATGGATGTTATTGACAATAAAGGTGATTATTACATCCATAAAATATTATAAAATTAAAATAATTTATTTCATTTTCTTTACAGTTATCGAGGCAGTCGAGCTCGAGGCTACCGCTGAAAGACAATAGACTGAGCTAACACTTGATTGAATTCATCTATTTAAGTTACCCTTTAATCGGCAAACCCCTTCTTCGCAAATAAACTATACGATCAATAACTATGGCTGGTTACGACAGCTAATTAATATTCAATAATAGTCCCTTGAATTTATTCAAATAAACTCGGCCTGTAAATAATGTTGTTGTTGTTGCAGATTATAGTACTACTGATGCTATTGTACATCTTACTTTTGTTAGCCACGATGACTGATTAATTGATATATATTTCTACTTCGCCTACAATAAATTGTATTACATTTATCTATTAGTATCTATCTTTGTCGACATATCATCACAGATCTCAGCACGCGCAGAATACAGAAAACATTAGATGACGTCTTTATAATATGGACAATACATGCTATTTGTGACGTAATTGTGATCACGCTGGGTAGTCACTCACTTGTCTGAGCTTATGTATATCACTTTTCGGACGACAACAATATGACCACCATTGAAGTAAAGTTAAAACATGCCCAATTGTAGACTATTCAACAGGGTAAATTACAAGTATGTGAGTACAATAACATTACAGTATACAACAAAAAGGTGATACGAAAACACGTGTGAGCACGTGTCATTCTGGGTCATAATTGCCCTTTTAAGACACTTGCATCATACAAGTAATATTGATGTTATCTGAGATTCATATTTGACTACACGCTAATTATATCTGCAAAAACAACTTTTCAATGTTGAGGTCATTTTCTGGTAAACCTTTGGTTTAATTGATGAAAAAATACAATATCCCTTTAAACAATCTGCCTATGTACTACAGGTCTAAGAACAGCAAATGTGTTACGAATGCATTCAACTGTTCGTCCTCCAATGACGGTGGCGGTGAGTAATCTGTAAAATTGCTACTGCCTATAAATATATGAACAAATACATTCAATAGAAACTTACAATGACGACAATAGTTTTTAAAACGGGATGGTCGTCACCTGCGAACGCGCGGGAATTGAGTACCAAGCGACGCGACGATAACAACACGTTAAAAACGCAAAGACTAATGGGTATATGCTTGTTTGTAAACAATGACACGATATGGCCATCTGACGCATGCGCAGATGACGACTCCTCCACTTTAACGATAAGATAATTAGCTATATGCCTAATATTATAATCTGAGTACCTATACATGGGACGTAATGACAGGAATCCTGTCAGTCCCAATGGAATTAATTTTGATTCTGTCCCACCATCACCCGTAACCAAGAGAGCGCTTGGACAACAAGTTACACTCCTTTTAATTGTAGCACCATAGTTCAGACTGACAATGTGGCTTTAAAGGTTAGGTTGGTTGTACGTATACAGGTTATATTATTATGTATGGAAAAAAATGTTTGAGTTTCTGCCTCTGACCATGCCACAATAATTTGTTTAAACAAAATTGTTTTTATATTTCACAGGTATAATTACAAGTAAATACCCAGATCTAGAAATCCCCGCAAATATGTCTATTTCTGATTATGTGATGTCAAACTTTGATCACTGTGGAGACAAGGTTGCTGTGGTGAGATAACAAACTGATACACAGTATCATTTTTTCTTGGTCTTGATTGTGCCCTTTTCAGACTTGCTTGCACTCTACAATTTTAGAGTTTGCATACCTCGCCTTTCATTGCAAGTTTTAATTACCATGTGACTATAATATGTTCATCGAAATGTGATACACATCCATATTTACGTTATAGCAGTGCTTTGTTTCCAGAGGAGCGACTAGAATAGGAAAGTATAGAAAAGTGGTAATAACGTAACCAGCAATATAACTTCTGCACCTGGCAGATAATTAAAAAAGGGACACAACACAAAGCAATTATGTTTTGCGTATCTTTATTGTTTCAGTAAATTAGAATACAGAATATACGGTTGCACGCTTATCTTGAACTTTGAACTTTCGAGCTGAATCGATTTCCGCTGTAATGAAAAATACTAGTCCTCGTCGACAATCTTTAATTCAACAAAAAAAAATCACAAAATACTTCAATTTCAAATATATTTCTTTCACAGATTGACGGGTTAACTAATAAGTCATATACATACGGACAATTGAAAGATTTAATCCACAGATGTGGGAGTGGATTATCTAGAGCTGGATTTCAACTAGGCGACGTATGTGCCCTGTATTTACAAAAACATGTCAGAATATTGTATACTGTTTTATGCGGTGATATCCATTGAAGGAATTGTTACAACTATTAATCCATCACACACCTCTGGTAAGTTTTTGTCCGCCATTGTAATAGATTAATCGTTGAAACCGCAATTGTTCATATATTATGTTATATGACATTTTACAAAACTTAACTTATTATTTAATAACGCCAATCCTTTGAAATAATACATTTCGTGTGATAGCATAACTGTCACTTACTCTGAATATTGTCTGTTGGAATTCTCTAAATTGTTTTTATTTTGGTCAGTCGAGTGAGTTCATCAACTGAAAATGTCAGACGCAAAGTGGATTGTTACACTTCCGGATTTAGTCGACAACATCAAAAGTTCCAACCTGTATAATATTAAGGTGAGTGTAC